CATCTTCCATTCATCTTTGAGGGGTGAGAGAACACAGGCTGGGGCAGAGGTCAGCCCATGGAGGGAAGAGGAGAAGCAGCAGGGGAATGCACCACCTCCCGAGTCACTTGCCTTTTTTCCTCCATGTAAATATTTCCTGAGCACCAATGAGTGCCAGGCAGTAGGGAAGCAGAGTAAGGCAAGTGGGCTGTGCCCTCAAGTGAGCTGTGATCTCTGGAACCCCAAACATGGGGAGGGATCTGGCTGAGAGTTTTCCACTCGCCCCTTGGGTCCCTGGCTTGAAGATGAGTCTGGCCTCCTGTGTTGTGCATCTGCCACCTGGAACAGGACAGAGCCAATGACACCCTAAAGAGGCCTAGGACCGTCTGGTCTATTAATCAGAGGAAATCCAAGGTCCCTGGGCAGGAGGCTTTGAGAAGTCACCACCAAGCCAAGGCTCAGCTCCACATGGTGATGGCCAGTGTGACAGGCCACCTTCTCCTCCAGGTCAAATGGTCACCTGGTCATTATCCACACCACTTAACATCTACTGGAGGGACTGTCCTCTCTAGGCCTCATTGAAGAAGGTCTTTTTGGGCCTGACACTGTGCTGGGGCCAGGTGCCAAGAACTAAAGGAGGTCAGACCCTTTCCAGCAGATCTTAGAAAAAGAAATTTAGCTATGAAGACATGCAGGAGTAAGTCTGGCCTTTCCTGTCTGATACACAATGGAGAGACTGGCCTTTAGAGATGAAATACTGAGAAAGGCTTGCATATTTGGCTTTTATTAAAATTAAACATACAGCATGGGAAACTAGAACAGATTCCTATTAAAATAATACATTTGAGGAAATGTTTCTTCAGCTATCACTGTAACTGATCAAGCATGTGACGAGTATTCTTTTACAGGATATACAGTCCCTGACATCTATGCACAAAACACCAGATCAAGGACCTTACCTGTACGATATGTTGTATGGGGTGTCAGTGATTCAGTTTGACCAACTGTGACAAACACAGAGACAGGGCATCCACACAGACATACACATTCAGTGTCTCGAGTTTTCTTTCAAAGAAAGTATTTTACATATCATGTACAAATTAAGCAAGAAGTCCACATGGGTCCTTTATTGCCACTGCAAAGGAGGAAAATAATTTACAATCTCATAACCAAAGGCAAGAAGATAGCACTAGGGCAGACTGATTCTGCAAGCGCCCCAGTCCCGTGCATTCCTGCCATGGTCGATGCTGTATCGAGTCAATGAGTCCCACGACAAAGGTTGCACAGGGCCTATGAGGTTGTGATTATCCACCAATGAAGAAGCTTCTTTCATTCCCAAATCTCGGAAGTGCTGCTGGCTTTCCTGCTTGGTCAGTAGATACACAACACAGCTGAAGATGAGGGGCTTAGGACTCTAAGTAGTGCAAACACTTAAAAAATACATTCCAACCTCCTTGCTTCTGCAGTCCAGAAGAGCCTTGGAAACCCCATCTAACTGGAATCTGAGTTTGCTCAACTTGATCCAGATAGATACAAGTGGGAAAGATGGAGTCTCCCGAACCAGCAATAACAAAGAATATTTTTTTTAAAAAACCAGGAGACTTCTGGCAGATAAAAACACAAAACAAAGCTTAGAATGGAGACATAGCTCACGAGATAAGTTAGTGTGAACATCTGAAAATACATATTTCACATGTTCTTAACAGGGTCATTTAAAGTACAGATAGATGCTTCCAAAAGAGATATCACCTGGAAGCAAAGGCCTTGAGTGCTAGAAGCTTCCAAGGGACAAGGGAACAAGAAAATGAGGCCTGGCGTGCTGGACCCTGGAAACTCAGGGAGAGTGGGCTGAAGGGCAGGCCTTTCTCGGGTGCTTCTCTGTGCCATGGTGTGCCAGCCTCCATGCCCACAGCCACCATGGGATAGGCCAACCCAGACTTGGCCCTGCAGAAAGCAGATGCCAGAAAACAAACATGCAGACAGACAAACAAGCAGTATATGTAGGTAAGTGCTAAGTCAAGCTTAACATTAGTCCCTAGCAATTCAAGGAACACCAGTAACTGTTTTGAAATTCAGCAGTTTCACTTGAATATGGCATTAAAAAAAAAAAAAGATTCATCTAGCTGGAGCTACTGAAAAAATCCATTTCAGGAAGGTGAAAAACAAAGGAAAGACAGTTACAGAGTGAACACATAGAACATAACATTTTGTCATCATGGACAATAAGAAGCGATTCAAATATTTTGAATAATCATTTTATAAAAATATCTACATGAAAAGTGTAGCCTGAAAGCTATAGCTTCAATTTTACAAAAAAGGCAATCTTTGAAAGGATCTGGCTCAGAAATATACAAACATTACACAACAGATATTAAAGTAAAACGGCTCTGAAAGCATCCAAGGGAATATTGCAACTGGCTTGTCCCAATGAGACAGAATTAAGAATTCTTATTGCATAGCAGAAAAATGAGGTCACTTCATTTGCATAAGACTGCAATTTTTCAGATGGAGATTGGGTACTTAGGAGAAATAACTTTGGAACTCAGAAGCTGACTTCTACATTGTCCAAATCAATATCCAAGTGGTGTCTAAGCTGCTTCTAACCTTGGGCCTCAATTCCATTCTACCGCTGCAATCAGATTTCAGACGTGCCACTGACAAGCCTGCATTCACAAGCAGAGGCAGCCAATCAGCAGGAGTGGAGGATGGGAAGCTTCACCTACCATGTGACCAGCACAGACTTAACAGTAAGTCTGATGCATCCACTGTAGAGAAGGAATTGTACCTGATGACGAAATAACACCAGTTTTGGGATGGCATCTGTGGGCAGTTGGAGCAGATTGACTTTTTGGTGAGGACGTACCAGTGTTCTAGTCCCCATAAGAAAGGACGCATGAGGATGAAAGTTCTACCTACAGAGGCAGTGCTTCCCAGTGGGGGAGACGTGAGGTGGGACCAATGGCAAAAGCCACAAATTGGAAAACACAGCTGACTAGCTTTTAGGGGGGAGATCCTTTCTGGGACAATGTCAGACAATATCTGGTCTTCCTCATTAAGCATGCAAGTCCAGCTTCTCGGTAGCAGGAGAGTGACTGGGGATTCACCCTCACCTGAAATAGAGCTCTTTTGTGAACAGCACCCATCAGAGTCCCACGCAAATTTCAGCTTCATTGTATGCACCCCCAAACAATTCCCAAAGCTTTTTTGGAGAAGGAAGGATATCTGGAACAAAAAGCTACTTCTCCTCTATCAACTTCAATTCAGAGCCAGACAGAGCTCTGAAATCAGCTATCCCCACTGTCAGGAAAAATCAAAGCACCTCACTAAAGCATGCTTTGACACCTCTAAAGACATTTCTTCTGGGACCACCAAAGGTAGGTATTCTAGCCTCTTCCCAAAGCTACTAAAAATCCTGGGTGCATTGGTGCCTAACATCTGTTTAACACAAGAAAGAGAAATTTCATCTTCAGGAGTTGCACAATAGTACACAACAAATATACAGTACATATTCAAAGTAGTCACCTCACTGGGGAGACTCATGGGTTTAACTGCAGGGTCAGGGTAGAGAGCACCAACTTCCTGCAGCATCTTCTTAGAAGAAGCACTTCTACCAAAAGTCCAACATCAGGGTCACAAAGTCCCTTGGCTTCCTATAGGTAGACCTTAACATTGGGGAAGGGTAAACCTCAACCCTTAGGTGTGAGACTGTTCTCCAGTCCCAAGATCTCCTTGCTATGCCAGAACTTCCCACAGAAGCAATTTGCTAGCTTAAGAACAGCACAGCTTTGAGGGTTTTTTTTTTAATGAAAATGACTCCACACACTCTCATATATCCCCCTCCAGATGCTTGTAGTTCTATCACTAATAATTTTTAGCTGTAACTTAACAACTCTTATCAAACTCCTCTTTTTAAAATGCAAGCATCCCTGGGGAGATCTCAAATCCAGGACCCACTGCCATCTCCATCCCCACAGGAGAAGCAATAGTAGGGGGTTCTGGAGGTTGAGGAGAGGGTATAGACCCTGAAATAGGGGGAAAACACAAGAAAATGAAGACAAGGATATCAGACAAACTTGACCATCATCAAAAAGTGCCAAGGGCCAGCTCTAGCCGGTTCCCTTCAAGTCATTCATGTCCATCTGAATCACACATGGCCCTATCCAACACAGGGACAAACCTATCTCTGGGTTTGGTGGAAGGGTGAACTTTTGCTTACCCTCCATATGAGAACCCTTGCTATGAATAGTTAGGTCTACATAATTATTATAAATGGGCTATTCCTATCCTGGGGAAAACCCAGAAGCAGGATCCCTCTCTGAGACCACTGTAGGGAGGAAGTGAATCCTCACCACTTTCATTTTTTGTTTTCCTTCTTTTCTTATGTTTTTTTTTTTTTCCAGTGTGTTACCTGGGGCTTCTCTGAAGAGTTCATTTTTCCCCGCTAAAGAGACACAAAATCTTCCAAAACCAGAATCATTACATCAAAGATCAGACATGAAGACAGGGCAGTTCTCATCTGCTTCCTTAGTGGAGGGCTCAGGAAGAGTGTTCAGTGAGGAGCACTGGGGACACTGTTTGCTCCCTGGTCTCGTACACAAAGGACATGGTGTGCTTTGAGAAGGCCCCAGCTTTCCTACAGAGCTACAGCAGTCAAGTCACATTTGTGGGCATGATCAGAGGCTGCCCACCTCCCCCGTTATTTCTGGATATTCCCAGCTGTCCAAGTGGATCTCCAGATGATAGAGCTTTAGTAGTCTAGGGTTCCCATGGGACAAGTCCAGAAGAGAGGTTGCTGTCATTTGATTTCTAGCATGGCAAAAAAGATCAGTAGTAAGGAAATCCAGTAGACTATCACACGTCCCAACTGAGTGACACATTTTATACACAGACACACAGACACACAGACAGACACACACACACACACACTCACTCACTCATGCATATGTTCTAGATTCTCCGTTGTCCCTGTAGAAACACCAAACCAAACCAAAAAAAAAAAAAAAAAAAAGCCCAAAGGTGCTGCTAGGGCTGAAGAAACTCCACTGCTCAGGGCAGAGGCCAAAGCACTCAGGGGAGCAGGAGGTGGGTCATCAGTGTCCACACTGTGAGGGACGATGCCAGTCTGCCAACTCAGAGGAGGGTGGTCTTCACAACACCTTGGGCCCACCCAGGAGTCTCATTCGGTTGTCATGGTCCTGCTGCTCCAAGTCACAAGCAGCACCCACTCCTTCCTCTACTTCCTGACTGTGGGAGTTTGGGTCACAATGACTTGTGAATCACAGCAACACCTAAGAGAAAGAAAGTTCTCTTTTTAGCTTCTCCAAAGTTATTCAAAGTCCCAATTAATTCATGAATCTAAGACATCCTGTTACAGTCAACAGAAATAGGTATAATTTTTATCCAAATATTGAAGGGGATGTGGACTCTGGCTGCCAACAGCTGGCTGTTTTCCATTCTAAGAGCCAGGTCCTGACAAGACATTTTAATCCATCAGCACAGTCCCTCCAACACTGCAGGTGGATGGCCTCAGCCACATCATCACACAGATCACCCAGCATTGTGATGACTCCCCTTCCTGATCCTACATCTCAGCTAACAGCGCTCAGCGTCCTCACTGGAAACCCAGAGACATTGCCCAGCTCCAAATCTGTACCACTTTTGGAAAGTTATGGGTGATTTGTGTCTACTTGTAGAAGACACTGGAATGAATTGGAAAGAACAGTAGACTCGCTTCGTGGAAACAAGAAAAACTGATTTCCAATCCTAGCTCTGCCACCAGTCAACCTGCATCGTGGCCTTATGAAGGTCCATTCACCTCTTCAGGCTCAGTTCCCATATTACTTAGTCTAATCAAACCAAGGAACCCTTGCAGTGCTAAATTCTCTACTTGGATAAAGACTCCTAACGTGTACATATGTGTTACTGGCTTAGTAAAATTGAACCATATTCAGCATCTAACTGTGTAAATCCACATATAACCCAAAATCTCACTGTAATAGCTTGAAACTGTGTGGTAGACACTATAGGCTCCTTGCTATCTACTACAGACACCACCACGGTACTTCCAGACACCCTGCATCGGGAAGTGCCACATGGCAATCCTGGCCCATGAGACTGTGAATGCAAATCTGCAGTGCTGCAATGCTGGCTGTCATTGTCCTGCCTGGATGCTCAAGCAAAGTCTAAGAGGCAGAAGCAGCCATTGAGGAAGGTTGCAGAAGAAGATAATCATGACTCTTCAATGAATGTCTGGGTCACCAGGCCTGACTTCTTTCTAGCTGAGACAAATACACCCCCTTCCTTACAGAAGCAACTAGCTGGCAGGTTTTCTGGTACCACTGTGAGCACAATCCCAACTCAAAAGGTGTTTACAGTTAAAATAGCCCCACAACTATACAACATTCTGATGAAAGATGAGATTCAGAGAATATTTCTTTAAAAGCCCAGGATATTCCATCAGAGAAATTCTGCTAAGAAAACCATTTCCTGTTAATTCCTGGATAAAGATGTAAACATAGAAGCTTGAGGGCAGGAAGAACTTAAGTTCAGACCAGAAAGTGTCACCTGACCTTGATGACATCTCACCTGCAACTTAGAATCTCTCTCACAAGATAGAATTTGTTTAAAATTTAGAATTTAGGCTCTTGTCTTTTTTTTAAATATAAGCTGTCCCTTTTGATTATAAAGATAATACATTCTCATTTTGGAAAATGCAGAAGAGCACAAATTAAAAATCTTTAGTCATTTCATACAAAGACAACTGCCGTTATCTTGTTGGGATATTGCCTAACTTCTGATAATAATCACAGTCATTTACCAAGTGGAGTCTAACACCAGTCAGGCATTGTGCCAAGTGCTGTACCCTTGTCATCACATTTCATCCCCACAACAGCTGAGCCTCACCTTGACTGTGCAGCCCCCCACCCCAATACAGGACCATAGAGCGGAGGACACCTTGTACATATGACCTAACAGCCTATCCCAAATGTTCTTTCGGGACATGAAAAACCACGTTCACTGCACAAACGTTGCCTGCGTTATACAGCTGTTTCCCTAATGTCAGACATTAAGTAGTTCCCATGTTGCTTTACACTCCAGTAAATAATAAAGAAAAAGAAAATCTTCACATGTCAGAGCAATTTTCTAGATTTTAAGGCAATACATTCACTGAGTCAGTGGGGTTAAACAAAACAAGTTTGTAATTTCTGGAATGGGCAGACAACAAAGAAAGGCACATAAAATCTTCACATATATGAAATTGTGAATGGTCATGCTTAAGTCCTCCCTTCTCTCCTAAGACACAGGTGGAGCAGAGAGAGGATGCCTCCCCTGCCTGTCTCATTCTAGAAAGTGCCCTGCTATTCCCTCTACAGCTTCAGAAAGAAAATGATAGTCCTAATTCTCATAATTCACCATGAGATCTGAATTGCTCTAGGACCAAAATGCTTCCAAATCCTCTCACATTTAGCCAAAAAAAAAAAAAAAGTGACAAGGTAAGAGAAACCTTAAAGGAGGGAAAAAGTGAACGTTGAAATGGAAGTCTCCTGCTGAAAGAACACGACAAGAACCCATTACAGCCTGCAGGGCGCTGAAATTCAAACAAGATGGAAAGCCTGGCCTTTCCAAATGTAAAACAGGAATAAAAAGAATAACTGCTGAAGCCAAGGGGTAGGTTACCTGAGATAATGCCTGGCACATTGTGTGTACTCAGTAAATCAATGCATGGTGTGAGGATTCCAGTTCTGGAAGACCAAGTATAAGGGGTCCACTCCTCAACAATATATTGATGTTTATCTCCCCGTGGACCTCCAACGTCAGTAACACCAACTCGGATGCCGCCCCTGCACCTCACACACTCCTCTGCAAGCAGCAGCCTCCTTCCAGCCTCTTGGCTGACCCCTGAGCTGGAGCAGTACAGGGACATGGCTTAGAAGTCAGAGGAAGGTTTGAATTCTGACTTTGCCATTTATTAGCAGTGTGGCCTTTGGCAAGTTACTTAAACTCTCTAAAGCTCAGCTGTAGCATCTGTGAAACAGAAGGTACTGTCCCATTCGGCCCCAGGATTGTTGAAAAGATGAGAGCAAATGTGCACCCCATACCTAAACATGCCATGCCATGGAACATGAAGGAGGCACCCAGAAAAAGGGTGATGTGTGTGACTGTAACCCACTCAAAGCTTGATGGAGCCCATCACCTCCAGGAAGAAGGCCTGGATGGCCATTCTCACCGCTCTGGCATGTCCTAAAGTTGGATTGAGCATTGCACTCACACCTGTGTACATCATCTTGACTTTCCCCTGTCCCGTGCAGGCTGGTCTTATCTTTCCAACCCAACTTTCAGACAGCAAGAACTGTACTTTATGATTCCTAGGAGCCTGGCACAAAATAAATCAGAAGTGACCTGTGGAGGCACCTCAGGTCAGTTGGAAGAGGCTTCCTAGAACACTACAGTAAGAATTCTGAGGCTAGAGAAAGACAACTATCACATGTTTTTCTCTCACATGCAGAATCTAGACCTGAAAAAAACAATGACATGAATGTAAAAGGGGGAGAGTTTGGATGAGGAAACCAGCAGGAGAGGGAGGGTAAAAATGGAGGGGGGGGTGAATACAATAGAGGTACGAAAATAGAATAACCCACTAAAAATTGTAAAACAATAAAATAAAAAGGGGGGGTAAGAAAGGGTTATAGAGGTGGTGAATTTGATCAAAGCATAGTATATGTGTGTATGGTAAAATCACAATGAAACCCCTTTGTACAATTAATATATGCTAATAAAACAGTTGCTAAAACAATACTTTATGGAATTGGACAAAAATCCTACCTAGAAAATGGGCAATAAATCCTTCAAAGATGAAGTTGGGTTCCATTAGAAAATGAGAATTAATTTTATAGGCTGGGAGGTAGCTCAGTGGTACAGTGCTTGCCTAGCATGTGTGAGGCCCTGGGTTCGATCCCAGCACCAAAAAGGAAAAGACAAAAAAAAAAAAGAGGCAATTTTATATTATTTTATCATTAAAAGCATAAAAGTAAAACAGAATTCAGATGCTGCATTCTGGTTTCCAGGGGAAAAAAAGAGCTAATTGCAGGTACCTGTCCTGGGTGCAGAGCGAAGGAGTGGTAGCTACGTGACAATTATCTGCCATCCCTGGAGGAGGCGCTGGAGGTTTAGTTACCATGCCCACATCCTGGCATCCTACCTCACCTCCCGTGTGGCAAGCAAGACTGCAACCCACTGACCTGCATAGCTCCGCCCTGTGCTCATGTTGGTTGGCAGTAGTGTCCATTTGTCAGTGATGGGATTGTAATACTCCACTGAGGCCAAGTTGCAGGATCCATCGTCCCCTCCGACCACATACAGGAGCCCAGTTCACTGCACAGACCCCTGGGGGGCAAAGAGAAGCCACAGGAGATGTTATAGCAGAGCACCATGGGAGATTGTGCTGGATGCTCTGGGGGTGCTTTTGCTCCCTTTCAGGTCTGTGCTGACCCCATGGAGAAACATGCTGATGACAGCCACTGGGTCTTGAGGCTGTTTCTCTCACCAGGGCGCCTTCACCACTACTTCGTCCCACAGCTGATCCCCTCACACCCATCAGATGAACATGTAGAGTTCCCTTTCTAGGGAACACTGCCTGCAGTGCACAAAACCTCACTGCCCAGCCTGAGCTAGGGAATAAGACACTGCAGGAGGGTCGTGCATGTTACTACTTCCCTGCTTCTAAATTTTACCCTGCTAAGCCCTGTATGTCCATCCTGTGTGCTGCTACTGGTTGTGTCTGTAATCCCCTCATAAGACTGGTGCTATCCTGACACGTGGGTCTCAGGATGGAGGCTGCCCTCCCATTCTGATCTCAAAGTGAGATGTTTTGGGGGGAAGATCTCATGGAGAGGGCACTGAAGAGTAGGAAAATATAATTACTGTTCACCAAGACTTTAAAAGGCTGTACTCCAATAAACTGTGTATTTTGGCAAAATTAGATTAAGGGATTGATGATACCTTAAAAAGTGGGAATTATCAGTATTATAAAGAAACTCTGAAGTACTGGTGAGAATATAAAGTGAACTTCCTTCCTAGATGCTGTCTAAAACACAGGTACTCTCTGACTCAAGATTCCATTTCTGGAATCTTCTAGGAAAAATATTTAAAATGTATGCATCGATCCAGCTATAAGGACCATTTATAATAACTAAAGCATTACCAATAGTATAGAAAAGGTGGAAATAAACTAAGTGTCCCAAAATAAATTGGTAATTTAAATTATGATATAACCACTTAATATCACATAAATAAATTGAGTGTTATAGTAAGATGTTGACAAAAGATGATAAAGTGGGTTTTTAGAAGCAGGTTATAAAACAACAGAATGGTGTGATTCCACCTGGTAATTAAATAAAATATCGTGAATGTATATAGTCACATTTACATCTAAACTTAATCCTCAGACTCCATATACACCAGCTACCTTACGGGCTCTCTAATTCTTGCTCACATGGCTTAAGGCCAAATGTCAGGGTATGTTACCGTAGGCTTAGGCCAAGAGTAAATGAGTAATCCCCCTCTGTTTCTACTTCCAACAAGTCAGCCACAAACAGGTATATCAAACAGACAACATGAAAACAAAGGAAATAAATCTGCCTGAAAGTCACCTGTTTGTCTTTCCAACTTGGGAAGATGGGTCAAGCCAATCCTTTCCCAGAGCAAGACATACCAACAAGGGACACAACCCAAAGGGTGAAGTTCTAAAAGGGAATAGCTTGACAGGGGCGTCAGGCTCCAGGAAACATAAACCTAAATACTCCAGGGTGAACCATTCCTCCTGGAAGGAGTGGGGGAAGGGGAAACGGAAAGTATAGGGGAAAAAAGGAGGCGGTTCTACTGGAGAACCAGCCAAGGAAGCGTGTGGCTCTCCCTACCAGGAAGGAAATCTGACTCAAGTAAAGTGAGGGGTTCCTGCAGGCAGGCACTGGCAAAGAAAACACAGAACCAAAGGCCATTGTCTGGCTATGTCCACATAACCCTGCATTGTAAATGGGAGAGCCTGGCCCAAGCTTTTTGGCTCCTAAGCCCTGTCTTCCCCTAACACAGAGCCTACCAGGCAATGGACACTCCCTGTTCAGGGCACAAGCTCAGCTCCAGGCCTTGGGAGTTTCTCCCGTGTTCTGCTCATTTAGAAGTATGTGTACAGGGGGAAAGACCCACAACCCCCAAAGAGGAGAAGAAAAGAACAGAACATTACCTGCATTGCGCCGGCACATATTCATGTCGGCCACCTGCTTCCAGGTGTTTGTTCCAGGATCATATACCTCAACACTCTTCCTCACCAAGGGCCCATCGTGCCCACCTGTGGCGTACAGCTGTCCACTGAGCACCCCGACCCCTGAAAGGCAGAGCACAGTGTCCCGGCCTCAGGCTGGCTACTGGAACCAGAAACCAGGAAGCCTGGTGTCCAGTCCTGGACAGCCATCGACAGGATGGCTTGAGAGTCAGTGTCCTCATCTGTAAAACAAATACAATGACACCCTGCCTGCCTCTCCTTGGAATATTGGCAACCTGGAAATGTTGCAATATAAAGCAAGTGTGACCCTATTTCTGTTCTAAAATCATTAATATATATGTATAAACACATATAGGAAAGGGGTAAAAAGCAAATAAAAAAGAAAAACAGACTGAAAGAAACCCACCAAAGTATAAGTAGTTATTTCTGGGCAGTAAAATTACACTTGTTTTCCTTTCTGCCTATCTACGTTGTCTGGTTTTCCCTCAATGCTGTATTACTCAATCTTATTTTAGTTGAGTACAAAGAGTTAAAAACTGAAACTAGCCATACAGAAGGCATGCTGAGGATCATGGGTAAGGAGACCTCCTTGTTAGTCTTGTGAACAGAAGCTGTTCCTTTTGCCCCCTTCTCTCCTGGGTGGCAGAGGACAATTGACCTCCCAGTATGGAGCCACCAGAGCTAAGTGCTGGAATGGCATGACCAACAAGTTTTAGTGCAACCTTTCAAAATTCTTTCACACAAGCAAGGGAGAAAAAGGCAATGAAGGAAGATGTCGGCACCGAGGAAGAGCAACTGAGCTGATAGTTGGGACACCTGGGTTCTGGACCTGCCTCTCTAACCCTCACCTCATCCCCCCTCCCCCTGTGACCTTTCCCCTTTCTGGTCCTCGGTTTCCCACTTATACAGGGAGGGAGGTGGAATAGCTCAGTAGTCCTGTGAACTACTCCCCTCCATGGACAGACTGCAGCTCTGTCAAGTGAGAGTTTTCTGAAAAGATAGGGCCTTGCTCCCAGAGACACTGGTCAGGAGTCCCCCTCTCCCCCTCGAAAAGTTCCTCAAGTGATTAGGTTTCAGATTCATGGACGGGATTTGTAGGCTATAAACTTCACATGGACAAAGTCCATGTCTGTCTTGTCCTGGTCTTTTTCCCTATACCAGGCAGTAGTTCTCAGCAGACAATGAATGACAAAATATGTAAAATAACAGCCAGCAATTCAGCTAGTCTACTAGTGGTTCCTAGAAGTTGCTCTAAACAAACAGCAGATGGTGCTGTTGCACCAACAATGGCTAGCTAACAGTTGTGGGTCTCAAAATAACAGCAAGTTCCAAGGCTGCTTCACCATCCCTTTCTCCAGGCTTAGCAGGAACTAGCACCCCCTAAGACCCTGAGATGGCCTCTTTTCCCTTTGCCCTCCACTACTGCACACACCCTACCAAGAAAGCCAGCAGCCTGATTCAGACATATCCATGAAGAGGTTTCTTACACTCACAGGATCTCCAGGCACCTCAAGGGCCTTGAGCAGCCAGAGAACAGGATCTTTGTTGTCTGGGTCTTCAGCGACCCAAAGCACCCACCATGACAAGTACATGGGTTCCCTACTCCAGAGGTGAGACTGCCCCAAATCTTAGGAAAGTGAGGCTCTGAGGAAAGGCTGACCTGGCTGGGCCACCCTCCCAGGCCAGGGCTCTACAGCAACTAAATAGCTCAATCTCAAAGTCAAGGTCACAGTAGCAGTGACCACCAGCCCAGAAGAGAAAGGTAGGAAGGAAGTGGTTGAATGATGTCCACCCAGCAATGACCTTCTAAGCAGCTGGCAGAGACAAAGCAGTTGTGGCCCTGGAGGCAGCATCTACAGGATGAGCCTGAACCTTCTAGGGCAGGCTGGAGCTCCTGGCTTCACCATTCTCTGTGCTGGGGAGGGTCCTAGGAGCAGCCACACAACCCAGTGTGCCCAAGCCCTCTTCTGCTGAGGTGTGAACTCAGCTGAGGTGGAGCCTTGAATTCTTGTTCTCATGCCTCTCGTCGCAATAGAGAATTTCTAGGAAGTACAAAGAAGACACTAGAAACCAAAATTACTAAGAGTGTTTCGTGACAGAAAGAACCATGGGATCTGTGAATTGAACTGGCTCTTACAGGTCTATTACTGATTTCACATCTGAGGCGTTAAAGCCAGAAATGGAGAAGGGACTTGCCCAAGGTCACATGGCAAATTAGAGCAGACCCAGCACTAATGCTCAGTCTCTTGACTTCTAGGCATTTGCTCCACAGTCAGAGAGGGCCAACCTGTCAGGATCAGCAGAAACACATTCCCTAAAAATAGCACTCAACAGCAAATGCTTCTTGTTTTTTTGGTTTTTTTTTGGGGGGGGGTGGGGGCAGCAAATGCTTCTGAAATGGAATCATACCGATTCTTCCTTTATAACCAGTAGGCACACAAAGGTTCCCTTTAAAATATTAAAATAGTGTAACTTTTAAGAAATGCTGAGAAACTTGTGTATTTGGTGCTATAAATGAGATCACAATTCAATTTCCAGAGTAAGAGAGAGAGAATATGGAATAACATTGTAAGAAACTCAGAAGTTCATGTGAGCTTCTCTCTAGCCCTAGACTGGGATTCAGTCACCACGCACCACAGGAACCCTATCCAGGGCCTCTGCCAGCCCTCTTTGACCCCTTCCATGGGCCTCTAGAATGATAGGGAAACAATTCAAGGAAAGAGGGGCTGTTGGTGCAGATCCAAAAAAAAATCCCAAAAGGACCACAGAGTACCTGGTCTTCCCACAAGAAACAGAAGTGGAAACCCAATTGAAAAGTCATTCTTTTTCCATGTTGGGCAGGAAAAGTGGGGATGAGAGATGTAGGTTTACATCTAAACACGTATGCTGGCTTTCAACCCTCGAGACAGGACCTTCGGCTAGGCAAGCTGGGCTCTGTCAGCTACAGACAGGGATAGCAGTATGTGTCTTTACCGCCTCACGGGAATGAGACTCTGATAATGTGGGGGCTAAAAAAAGGTAACTCTGCCACTTACTAATTCTCTAACCAGGCAAATTACTCGACCTTGATAGACTTACTTTCAAAATCTGGTGAGTGGAATTAATATTGTATAGACCTTTCTGGGGCTGTGCTAAGACTACATGGACCAAAGCACATAAGGTGTGCATTAGGGCGGAGCCTGGCACATAGTAAGCCTTCACTTTTAAGAGCTGTAGTCCCTCCAGAGAGACAGAGGGATGGATGAAGAAGGGAACATTATTTCCTCCATTCTCTAGCAAAGGGCTCCCCTGGGAGAGGCTAATTTATAATGCTGTGTCTAGCTGCAAAGGTGCTAATGGGATTACACAGAGCAAAAGAAAAGGGAGGTACAATAGGTGTAATGTTTTTTGTTGCAAGACACAGCTGTGAAGAAAACAGACAAAGCCTGCACCCTTGAGGCTCCCCATACCTGCACCACTGCGGCGGGTGCTCATGTCTGCAACGTATATCCACTCGTTGGTGGCTGGGTTGTACTGCTCCACGGTGCTCAGGCACTGGCGAGAAGCCCCATCATAACCCCCAACAGCATACAGCTTCCCTGGAACAGACAAAAGAGCTGAAGGTGGGGCACAGACACTCACCTGGAACCAGAACTTGGTTGACACTTGTCTTTAACCCACTTGGGCCACATTTACCCTTATCAGAGTTCTGGGCCCCTTCCCAGGGGACCACCAACCACTTCCTAATCAGGGGAAGCATCTGTTACATTTCTGTCTTCTACTTGCTCTTAAGCCATGAGCTCTTTAGAACCAATTCTGAAACTCTTTCTCAATAAGGGCCCAGAATACCCTGCAAAGTTACTACCTGGCACCACTGGGCCCGACGGATTCTTGCTGGGGAACTAGGTTAAAACTTCTCCAGAACAAGGGACCAACTTTCTGGCTAACAGCTCACAACAGCAGATGAGATGAGTATGGAAAAAATAGTATTAATTGAGAACCCAAACCCTATCTTAGCCATTGCTTCCATTCCTTCTATCCTTCTGGCAGGAAAACATGGATGGAGTGCTCTGTGCACACTCAACAGAGATGGTTGGAATTCTTCTACAGACTACCTTGTGACCTCTGACCTAAGCATGGAGCCCTGAAGCACCATCCTCTATTCCAAAAGAAAATACCATTAAGCTGCTAACCACAAGCATCATTTCCACTTGGGGCTGGGATTAGGAGTAAGGTTGGACAAGGGAGCAGAAAATTGGTATTTGCACTGGTTGAGAGCAAACATCCAAACACCTGGGCTTAACATTTAGTTTTAGAATACAGTGGGCCAGCCCTTTTCTGTGGGTATTAGAGGAAGGAGCCTTACCTCACCTGTAGGCCTCAGCTCTGTGGGAGACCAGGAGTTCTAACAAGGATCTTGAACACTTAGCTGTAGGCTGAATAAACACAGCCAAATGCAAAGCCATTTAACAGAATTACTTAATCAATATATTTTTGGGCCATTATATACATTCTTTAAACCAAGAGTACAACTGGAATGTGAGAATCTGTAATCATTTTAAGCTAGAGGAAGACTCTGAGGCTCAAAACCATTCTTTATCACCAGGGCTGTTGATGCAGCAAAAGTAAAATCATTTCTTCCGTCATTACTGAGCCTGGTTTTGTTTTCTGCCCCAGGGTCCTCTCAACTGACCCTTCTGAAAGAAAGAGACCTCATCCCCAGTTCTGCTCTCACTGAAGTCAAAGTAAAAACAAACTGAGCAGTCCTTCCAGGATCCAGGCCACTCCCATTGTATGGGTTTGTTCAGACGTGATCATTTTCCTTACACACACTCTCTGCTCTGTGGGGTCCTCTGCCTGCACTTGATTCTTACTGTCCCTTGCCCTAAGTAAGGATTCTCCAGGCAACCAGAAGCAAATTACCTGGTTTCCCCCATATTTTTTTTTCAGGGTGACTAAGGCTAAATAGTCATAGCAATGAGATGCCAAGAGCTGAGGAGAGTAAACCAGACAATGTAGAGAGTTGTGTCTTCGAGGCTACAATGAAAGAGTCTATTTTAGTTCCTCCCTCAAATCCTCATCAAAGCTGTAGGTTGGCTCTGCTACTGCCCCAGGTTGACCCACAGTCCAAAGAGCTTCAGATGCAGGAGAGGCAGGAGAACAAGTCCCTAGTCCATCTGCAGGACAGTGTTTCTCCCACCTTCAGAGCAGGCTCATAAAAGTCCTTGCCAAGGGCAGTTTTTTAAATCACTACCATTATGGCACCTTCTGTAACCCCCACCATCCAATCCAACTTTGCATCGGCTGAAAAAAAGTCCACTCAAGGTTTCTCCTTGAATCTATTAACAAGGATTTGCTATTTTTACCCCCTAGTCTATTGTTTGATGGTCCCGGCTGAGGAACTCTGGGGAAGTGGGAAGGTGGCTAGACAAAGCACTTACATTTGGCAGACAAATCAATTTCTGCTCCACCCGGAGGATGAGACTGCAAAACTCAATTTATCTTGGTAGGAGGACAAAGTCCTCGCCCTCACTAAGATGACTTACTTAGTATGTTGGGATAATATGTCTTGAAGTGAAATTTTAAACTACACAATGGTGGTACAGACTGAGTGCAGTAAGAAAAAAGAACCTGTTGACATCTAAGTTCTGCACGTTATACTCTGCCAAAGCACATGTGCACGTGTGTGTTTATGGGTGTGCACATGGGTAAATGAAGAGCTATTACAGCTAAATCTTCATATCAAGACAGGTTAATGAGTCAGCATTAGCCTGTCAACTCTAATGTTTTTAGTTCAGTAGTCTAACAGTTATCCATGCCTTGCTTTGCTGAATTCACAGTAAAACTCCTATCTCTCAGCACTGCCAGTGGTCTGATGAGTGTAAGCACAGAGGACCTGGGTCTGAGGACTGGTTATGTTATTTATTATCATTGTAGCATGGAACATATCACTTAACCTCTCTGAGACTTAGCTTCCCCATCCAGAAGACAGAGAAAATCTGAGTTCTCCCTATGATCTTCAGAAGGGTCTTGGGAACAAATGACAGACAGTTTACAAACAAACTCTTGTGTGCTGTCTGACCAGACCTCAGACCTCATCACACCCCCCTGGCTCACCCCACATTCCTTTCCTGACTAAGCAGGACTCTACAACCAGCCTGCCCTGCAGAGAAGGCCATCAGACCGAGGAGGAGCCCACCTTTCTCACGGCTCTGCTAATGTGCACCATGTGAACGTGAGGACAAGATTAATTTAACAATTAACTCACCCCCTCCATACTATGCACCTGGGTTCTATGCTGACTCTGGCTCTAGTGACAAGTGGCTAAGACGTAGGCTGGCATTTCTCCTTAAGGCTCCTGCTTCTCTCCCCACCCACTCCACCCCTTCTTACGCCTTGGGGTAGAATCTTCACCTGGAGCCTCAACCTTCCTCATCTGTGAACTTGGACAATGGTAACTAACTAAGAGGAATGATCTGAGGAATGAAACCACAGCAGGAAAATTATCAAGCAAAAAACCTGGGAATTTGGGTAGGGGCTGGCCACCACCCTCTGCTGCACTCCTTACCCTCCACGACGCCCACGCCCACACTGCTCCGTCGCGTGTTCATTGGGGCCACGAAGAACCACTCGTTGGTCTTGTAGCTGTATGCTTCCACTGACGCTAGGCCTGGAAGACAAGGGACTCGTGAAATTTCCATGGCTCTAGGCCTTGCTTAGCTGTATGAAAAACAGTGAGGATGGGGGAGAGGCCAAACCTGGGGCCGTGGACCTGGATCTAGGGCTCTGCACTTCTGCCTCACCATGTGACCATGGCAACTGCCTGAGATACATATGCACCGTCTACCTGAGCAGACCACTAAGACTTGATTCACAGGGTGGGCTGCATGAGGACAAGGGATGTGCCTGAACTGCACTGCAAATGTGAATTGTTAAATTTACAGAATCAACTAATACTTCAGTTCCAAGTAAATACCCTAGGTTGCCTCACTGAGTGCCATTCCAACCTCTTTTTGCTTGTCTTCCTTTAGCTAGAAAGCTAAAAACTTGCCTTTCAAGATTCCCTTACATGGAAATGTCATAATGAAAATCTCCATATAGCTATCTAAAACAAATAAAAATGTCATTTTTTTTCAAAAACGGAGAACAGGAAGGTAAAACCAGTCCTATCAAGGGGGTTGGTAACAATAGGAGGGGGAGGATGTGGGGAAAGGGTGAAGGAGAGTGAATATGGTAGAAATTTTTCATGCATGAAAATGGAAAAATGAGATATATTGAAACTATTCCAGAAATGGGGGGGAGAATGATGGAGGGGTTGATATAATATATCAACTATGATATATTATAACTTTTATAAGTGTCACTATGCACCCAAGTACAACAATAATATAATAATTTTTAAAAGTTTAAAAAAATAAAGAAAAAAAAAAAGATTCCCTTGCAGTGGTGACTAAGCCAATGAGACCTCAACAGAAATCTGAAAGGATTTCTGGAATATATTTTGCCTTTATAATATCAGTGCAACCCTTCCTGCTTTTTACTACCTGGAACACAAATGTGTTGCTTGGAGTTGTGATCTTGAGGAAAAAGCCAAATGATTCTTAAAGAACTTAACCTCAACAGCCTTGAGCAATTAGGTCATGTTGGAACTGATAACTGAGCAAAACAAAATCCCTCACTTTTAAAGCCACAGTTTAGTCAGGCTTCCTACTTATAATCAAAAGCCAAAGTCCAAAATTAAATAATGCACCATTACCCTTCTGTCCTCTTTATTCTCAGATGGTGCTCACTAAACTACAGTGGGGCAGGTGGTGGGGTGGTGGGGGGGGCGGCCACAAAAACCCTAAAAATATATTAGTGAGGCAAAGAGAAGTCTAAAAATGTCATTGAATTATGAGACAGAAATGAAAATTCAGAGAAGGAAAACAATATTGGTTTTACCTCCCCAGAGGCGAAAGAATACCACTTTAGTTTAATAAAGTCACTGTCTACACAGATATCTACCCAGCAATATGAGAAGAGATGACATCATCTCTCCAAGCCATGTCTACTAGTATCTCAGGTTGGAGCTTAGAAGCAAGAAAAAACCCAGGAGTGAGAAGACACCTGTGGTAACGCAGCCTTGTAAGGCTCAATGGGACAGGAGAAAGGGCAGTGAGCCAGAGGACGGCCTGGTCCAGTATGGGTCTGATCCAGGCCTCCTCCAACTGCTGAGCCTTGGGGGCCCTCATCTGTGCAGTAGAGAGTTTAGACCAGAGTCCAGCCAGCATGCTAAGTCTCACCTGCCAGATATGGAGGTAGGAGAGGGACACTTTTGAGTGCAGGGTCCTTCCCAGGGCCCATCTGAGAATATGGTAGCTATATATTCCTGTGTAAGGAGGCCTGCTCTGGCCTCAAAAGTTGGGTGAGGAAAAAGGCTAGCACTACAGTCCAGATCTTGTACCCCCAAAGGCCCATGAGTGGCACTATTGGGAGAAGGTGGAACATTTAGGAGAAGGGACTCTGGGAGGTCCTTAGGTTATTGGAGGGCTGCCATGAAGGAGACTGTGGGATCCTGGGTTCTTCTTCTCATTTGCTTCCTGGCTGATGAGAGGAGCAGTTGTGTTCCGTCATGCACTCCCACAATGATGAGCTGCATTGCCACAGGCCCAAAACAATGGGGCCAATCAACCTCCCAACAGTGAGCCAAAATAAAGCTTTTCACTTCATATGTAAGTTAACTATCTCAATATTTCATTCCAGTGAAGGAAAGCTGACTGATGCATTTGGGCATGTTCCTGAGCCAAAGCTACAAATGAACAGGGGTTGGCCCATGAGCTGGCTGAACAAAGAAAGGTTGCACAGAGGCTATGTCCCAGGCCTGCAGGGGTGGAAACATGCCCTGGACCTACCGGTACTACCATCAAAGCCTCCCACCGCATAGAGGAGATCATTGAGCACCGCCGCGCCCAGCGTGCTGCGCCGCTCCTGCATGCTGGCAATGGACGTCCACTGGTCCTTCACGCCGTCATACACGTCCACTGTCCGCACCCGCAGTGAGCCATTAAACCCGCCCACAGCATACACATGGCCAGCCATGAACACCACACCTGAGGCACAGGAAACCAAGACATGAAGGTCAGGTTGGGCAGCTGATGGCGTGTATGGTGAGGAAGCAACAGAGGAGCAAGGCAGGCACACGAATAACTCACCACACAAGACAATCTCCAGCTTTAAGCATTTGGGACACATTAGGGGACTCATTGGACTGGTTTTCTTATTTGATTTCAAGGAAATTCCTGAATTGGCTTGAACTCCCAAGCACGTAAGAACTGACCTCAGAATGGACAGGTAAAAGCTGTGCAGGTGCCACCTAAGTAAATTCGGAGCAGCATGACTTCCAGCACAGAGCAAGAGACCAGCCAAGAAAAGGCAGCTGTTGAAAGAGGGCGTGGGGATGTAGGGAACCAGCTTCTCACCTGCTCTGCATCTCCTAGAGGGAAGCTCCGCGATCTGATCCCACCGGTCCTCCTCGAAGTCATAGCATTCCACACTGCGGATGGCCTTGGGTGCCTGGCCGCCAACTACAATCATGACCTCCAGAAAGACAGGTGGATATTAGCTGGATCTTCACAGCAACTAGGTGGATGGGTAACCATTTCTTGGTCCTTGCACATGCTTGCTGATCTCTGGGGTGATCTGAGCTGCCAGTTTATAGAGCTGTGTCTATGGAGATGCTGGCCTTAGTAACCAACAGGTATGACTATTCCAGAAAAGTCTAACAAGTATCTTCCCACTGAAACATGATCATAAGGTCTATACTTTCCTAATTTCCTACTCTGAGTGGTGTTAGGGGTACACAAAGCCACTTAAAACATCCTCTATGATCTCAGCTCTCAGCATCCTCAAGGATTGCGGGGCAGGGGGACAACACATTTTATATCTAAATAAATTTAAATATAGTTTGGGAAAGAGCGCAGAATTTGGATGCATTTTTAAGAGAAAATTATTATTCAAAAGTATTCCTACATGCCAAGAGTGCAAGAGAGGCACTTATTCACTTCAGTATAGAAAAGAGTTGTGAAACGCTGCCATGTGGCAGTGATCCTAAAACTTATTTAACTGTGGTGTTGTGAAAAATAGTGTTAACCATACTCTTTCTGCCAGGCAGTAGTTACTGCTACCAGGAACCATAAAGTGTATTGTCATTCGTCATCACAGCCCTGTGAAGTAGACATTATCACTTACAGATAAGGGTACTAAAGCTCTCCAAGACCCTGTGCAAATGGCCCAAAGTCACCCATCAAAGGGTGGAAGGACTGAAACCCAAGTCTACCTGACACAGGAGTGAGGCTTGGCCCTACTCATCTGCGTTACAGACCGGATCTGTGGTCCATGTAAGCACAGCTCACAGCATCTCTGTTTGTCAAAATGCAGGTCACATTTCATTAGCGGGTCATGAAATCAACTTAATGAGTGTGCAGCATGCTTTCAATAGAACAGTACAGGAAATATAATTTACAGTGTTATTTCATAAAATGTTGGTCCTGGTTATACACACTTAGATAATCCCCTGGACAGCATGCTCTGGCTACATTAATAGAACTGCAGTACTTAATTGTGGAATCCCATTATTATGACTTTTGTCACATGCTATTAATAAAAATTAAAGTAGTAAGGCTAACTATAGCTTATGTGTTTTAATAAGCTTATATAAATTCACACTGCCCCCATAATAACAAAGCCATCACTCAATGGCATTCCAATACCCATTCTTGAATGGAAAGAAAGGGGTGGAAGTTGAAGCCAGCATATGCAAGCCAGAAGACTGACCATGACCTGTAACCTGTCTTATTTAACTTTGGCATGCATGGGAAACACCTGGAGGGCTGCTGGGCCACTTCCCGAGTTTCTGATCCAGCAGCTAGAGCAGAGCTAGCTGATTTAGCTAGCTAGATTACTTTTTTTTTTTTTGGTGGTACAGGGTTTGAACTCAGGGCTTCATGCTTGCTAGGCGGGCACTCTACCACTTGAGCCACTGCACCAGCCTAGCTAGCTAGATTTCTAATGAGTTCCCAGCTGATGCTGCTGGTCTGTCCTTGGGTTCGTACTTGGAGAATCACTTTCTAACCCATGGCCTGTAGAGATTTCCTGATGTGTCTCATTGATGATTTTTGCCATTATGAATTGTTATAATGTTTTTTACTTCTCCATAAAGTATTTTGGGGGGGGGGATGACCACCTAAACCTGTGGGAACTCACAGGGGTACTACCTTCAGGTGGACATTATCTACCACACGAGGAAAAAAATCAAAGCTGACAACCGTTCCTCAAGGCCAACAATGTCTGCCCAAGATTTTAGACTTGGGTTCATCCACTGCTTACATGGATGGTCACTGCTCATAACTTAGTCCACAGTGTCTGTGAACAAATGTGGGTCTGCTCAAAACCTTCAAAGCCCAGAGATCAGTTCTGACTTCTAATGTGTTCCAAAGAAGCCTAGGACACAAGGACCAGGCTTCAGCTGCTGCTGTTTCCAGAAATAAACATTCTGGAAACATTTGAATTTCCAGCCTGCTTCAACTAGAGTCCACTGCCCTGGGTCAAGGCAGCCTTTTTCAGAGAAAAGCTGGATTCTATATTATTCCCCACCTATAACTCTTTGCTTAGATAGACAGCCATGGGCAGGCAGGTACAGGGGGATGTTAATGAACTCAGGCACAAGCAAACTTCAGACAATGCCCCACTCACTCCTCCAGGAAGAACATTTCACCCCGGGTTTGCAAACATCCCTAGAACTTGCATTGTCCTGGCTTTGAGCTGTAAGGCCAAACTGAAGTGAGATATTACATAACTTTTCTTTGAAGTCTGATTTCTGGGGCAGAGAGGGAATAGAACCAGTCTTTGTTTTTCTTTCTGTATGACATCAGGCACCCTGTGCCTTGCGCAAGCCATACCCCTTACTTTTGAAATTACATCCCTTTCTGATCCCTCTACTTTAACACCTGTTTTCCTTCTGACCTCAGTTTACCTGTCATTTCCTCTGAGAGATTTTCTCTGACTTCTGTGTCCCTCTACCGAGATCTCACCTGCCTGTGTGTTCACGTGCTTTGACTGTCTGGTGACTTGTCTGTCTTCTCACTTAGACACACTTGGTCAACAAGACAATCCTAGGTCCTTACATTGCCAGGTAAAGTTGAGGACTCAAATGTTTATTTGAAATAAAAAGTCAATCACACGTGCAAGGAATTAAATGGAAAAAATACAGAGTTAAATGAGAAAAATACAAAATTTTCTTTGGCTAAGACACACTGGAACACCAGATTACAAATCTGACAATATCGAAGTAAACAATGTAAAAAGAGAGAATGATTTCCATCTTATGACACAGTCACCAGGACAAAGGTTTGTTCATTCCTTGCACAAGCTATGAAGCTTTGAGGGAATCTCACCATGTCTCAGACACTGTTTCCTGCCCAGGGGTGGGGGTTCATTCATATTGGAGAAAATTCACCACTTATTTCTGAGAATTTTCATAGTAACACAGAAACAATACACAGAAATGGAAAGATGTTTTTGTTAAAATAAAACCTGAGTACCCTGAGTATAAGACAGCATTTTCAAAATGAATTTGTCTTTGAGCTCATAAAACCACTGATGAGAAACAATTTTTAACATTCAAACCTTATACCACAATTTGAGAAAAATTGTACAGTTTTTGTGGTAGGACAGTTACCTTTGGAGGTAGCTCAAGGCACCAGGAAAGAACACATATACATTTTGCTTCTCTCACAGGCATTAAAAAATACAATTTCTATGACAGTTCTTACAAGAAGCCATGGTACCAGGAGCACTGTACCCACCATTCTGTCGATAGTGTAGAATAAAAAGGGTAAATTTCCTATCTTGAATACTATAGAGAAATTGTTTCCATAGATATCTGATCTTAACCAATTAGGCAAATATGAGTGTTCCCAAAGTCTACATGTCACATCTCTGAAATTATAAACTTTCAACTGCTTAAGACGACCTCAGGATGTCACAACAAGAAGAGACCTGAACCATTCTCTGCTACAGCCCTCACATTTCATTTCCAGAGATGCTCAGACACAGGGAGTTCTGCAGGCATGGGTCTTTCTTTCACCAACATACCTAACCCCAATTTACTAAAGATCTTTGATGCCTTTAATGGAAATTATGAAATCACATCAGCTTATTAATGACCACTATTTTTTGAGGATCTCACTATGTCTCAGGCTGGCCCCTAACTCTTAGTTCAACTAGCTAGGACTGCAAGCACATGCCATTGTGCCCACCAATGACCACTGGTTTTTAAACAATTATCCTTTGAGGTTACACTGGGTAAAAATGATTGGTCATACAAGAGTCACAACAAACTGAAGAAATGGTTCAAGGCTGACACCAATACTGGACTGGGCATCATTTAACCACTCCCAAGGATTGAAGTCGACACAGAGAGGGAGTCTTTCGGGATACCTTAGCATCTTGATGTCAGGACTCAGTTCTCACTGTGTTGACAGCTGCAGAAGTTCTGCTGACTGGAGAGTTCTGGTTGGCAGAATACAGGCAAACTGAACTTTACTCCACAGGGATGGTTATTAGACAACTCCCATGGAACATACCTTGCTCTGGATGCACAAGTGGCTGTTTACTTTAGGGAGATTAGTGAGACCATGGGAAGACTATCTGACTTCTTAGAAAGGAATTGTTTCCTTCTCAGAAAGGTTTTTAAAGACACATATCATGCTCCTCCTTTCACACCAGGGTGACCATGGACTGAAGGCATGTTGACCCTCCCTCATTGAAATGACTACCACCTTCTAAGAGTCATAAATGCCAGAGAAGCCAGAGAAAGGAGCAGTTGGTCAACAGAGCCAAGCTTTCCAACCTACAAGTAGATTGAGAGTCTAACTCTGTCCTCAGGGCCACATACGTCATTGGACTCTCCACTCAGGTGAAAGGATCTACCTGGGCTTTGCACACTTTCTTCATGGGGCAAGAGCAGAGTGTGTCCAAACTCTCTTCCATGACCAGTGAGCTGGGCAGAAGGCAGGCCCAGCCAGTCGGTCCCTCGGGCCAGGGCAGGAAGCCAGAGTCTCTCTTACCCTGGTGCGTGGGGCCGCAGGGCTAACACCAAAAACTCATCCGGAGGAGTGTGTCCAGGTAGAGCCAGAAGACGTGTCCAAGTAGGTTCCTGAGCAACAGGTATGCCTGCCAAGTATTGACAGGCAAAGTACAGAGACAGTGGGGTCTGAGAACTAGACAATCTCAGGGCAAAGCCCAGCGAGACAATGGAGAAGGAGAAAAAAAAATGAGCTTTGTGATCAGGCACATCTGGGTTCAAATATCAGCCAAGTCACTCATGAGCTATGTAGACCACAGGCAATACATTTAACCTTGCTAAACCTCCTTTTCATCACCTGTAACATCAGGATAATAGGATGTTTTTCGTAGGTATCAGGAGGCTTCAATGATCTAAAGCACTCATCACAGTGCTGGGTAAATAGTAAACACTGAATGTTAGCTTCCATTATTAGAGTAACACCACTGTCATTATTATTGCTTCAAATAATTGC